GAGGGGGCGGGGCCGGCGCGCCGCAGCGGGCGGCTGGGCTCCCGGTGAGCCGCGCGCGTGCGGCTTCGGCCCCGACACGCAGACGTGGCGCTTAAGTAGAGGACGGAGCGAGACGGGAGGGCCGCTGGGAGAATAGCAGCACCCTAACGCAGAAACGGACGGCGGGTCCACGTGCTAGGCAACGCGAACGCTTTGCGTGCGGGTGAAAAGACTCCGCTCCACCGTAAAACAGGTTAGTCTTCTCTGCGCCGGAAGTGCCCTGTGGACGCGTTCGGGTAAGTGTCTCGGGGTGGCGACTGGCAAGGATTCAGTGTGTTTCCAGAGAAGAAACAAATATTCAGGACGCCCAAGACTGATGAGTGTGGCCCCAGTGCAAGTGTGCCTTCAGCGAGCCTAGAGGAGACGCTGATCGACTGGACGATTGTAAGCCGGTTGACACAACCTCTGAAGGAGCCTGGTGAATTTTGCAGCATCTCCCCCAGAGGATGGAGAGCTCTGGACTAGCGTGGCGTAGATGACCCATAACCATTGGTGAAAACACCTGTTTATGATACAGTTCGTTGAACAGGGGACAGAAAACGGGCAGAAGAGGTCATCGCACCACTGACCGGGGTTAAGCCAGACCTGGACCTCGGTGCCTGCTTGGATCCAGCTTGGCCACTCCTGGGCGTGGGGTTCGTTAAGAAACGTGCGCCTGTGAAGATTACGCGACGGGTTCACAAATCACACCAAGAGATCGGTTCCACGTGGGAGGTTTATTAGGGGAAGGGAAAAGGGGTCGAAGAGAGAGGAGGGGCTCCAGGAGTTCTCTTATAAGGTGGGCATGCGCAGGTAGTTCCAGGTGTTCAGCAGGTGGTCTGGTGGTTTCTCAAATGCCTGATAACTAGTTTGTCAGGTCCCTTGGGGCTGGCCGTAGAGATGCCTGTTCACTAATCCCAACAGGGTTAACTTAATGCGGCAGAGAGGAAGGAACCGCAGGTTCCCGGTTGTCACAATGGTAACAACACAGAGGGCGGGAAACCAGGATAGTGGGGAGGCCTGAGTCTTTTCTCTTTTTCAATACTTCGGTTGTTTACTTCTGCTGTGCCCAAAGGCAGGTAATCGTGGCCTTAATTTCTGTAAACTAAAATGCTGCCGACACCCTCGATTATTTGTTGAATATTGAGATGCGTTCCTTACCGAGTTCAGTCTCCTGTTCCTCCCCCAACCTAGAGTGCATGCTTGCTGTTATTATTTACATTAGTTAAGAGGATTGGTCACTTTATTAACCATCATAATTTTCCTGACCTAATTATATGGAATTTTGTTTATCCATAATGCCTTACAACCACAGCTTGTGTGAGAAGATAGGTTTAAACAGGCCAAGAGTCGTGTGCGATGGATAATTAACTTTGCATACTTATTATAAGCACAATAAATACTTATTTTGCTCTAGGGTAATATCAATACTTAATAATTTCTCTAGCTGGTACCTAATTCCTAAGACGCACAAGTTAGCTAGAACTGTAACTGAGGCAGTAGCTGTGTTTCCTGTTCTCGTGTGGGAATGCTTACAGTGACGCTAATTCATACCTGCCTAAGGCACAGATGCACGGGGACTCACCTCAACAACTGAGCTGAGAAAACTCTGGAAGAGGCTTTCCGTACCCATGAAAACACCCTGCTTGCCGGAAATTCTTCAGCTAGAACCTTGGTTTATTCTGTTAGCTCAAGGCAAATAATAGATTTAGTCCTTTAGGAAAATTGAAATGGGGCTGCTGGTGTGTTGGTGGCTAAGGGCACTTCCTGCCCTCCCAGGGTGTCAAGGTCAGTTCCTCACAACTGAAACTCCAGTTCCAGAGGACCCAGCACCCTCCTCTCCCTTTCAGGGACAGGTGTACATGTATGATCCTGGAAGAAGCACATTCACATACAAACACAGAGAGCCTGGAAAACTGAAGCCCAAGTAGGATGGAGCTGAGGAGAAAGGGAGCAGCTAGATGGTGCTTGTTCTCAGGGTTTGTGGCTTCTGCAACGGTAGGTGGATGGGAAATAAACATTTAACAGTATTCTCCTTATAAACCCTGATAAACGGAGAGTAAAAGAATTTCTCTTTTCTGAACCTACAAGTCGGAAGAAGAGCCAGGAGCAGAGCTCAGAGAACTGCAAAGCAGCTGACGGGTTAACTGAATGCCACAGTGAGGAAAGCCAGGAATCAAAGCAATGTGTTAATTCCAAGAACTTCGGTGGTTTAAGAATTAATAACAAAGTGTTGGTTGCGTGTGAAATGCCCTTCATAGACTCTTGGGCCCCAGCTGGTGGTGCTGCTTGGGAAAGTTATGGCACTTTGAGGAGGTAGAGGCTGGAGGAAGAGCATACCGAGACCCTGGCTTTATCATGATGCTCTGCCTCTGGTTCCCCCTGTCTGCGCCCTGTGTGGGGAGAGGCTGTGTCACGCAGTGTCCTGTCGGCTGGCCTCACGCTCCTGCTCCAGGCCCTCCAGACCGTGCCCTCCCTGGAACCATAAGCAAAGTAAACCTTTTCCTCCCCCAGGTTGCTTTCAGTTATGGTGTTTGTCACAGCAACTGCAGGCAACGGAAGAGCAGGTACCTGGCAAATGGCACTGTCAGGGTCCAAAACGACAGGGCAGGTGAAGCTGGTTCAGAATTCGGGAGAGCCCTCCCTGCTCTGTGTGACCAAAGAGTTTAAGTTAGCCTGGGTGACTCCATTTTGAAATGAGGAGCCATCTTGACCGGGAGCTGAACTCGGGTACCAGGAAATATCACAGAATGTGCACTTGGCAGAAAACAGAGTTAACTCTCTTAGCAACAGCCTCCAGGAAATATCACAAAATACTTGATAGAAAATAAAGACAATCTCCCTGGCAATAATCAATGAGAATCGGTTGGGAAAATTCTCCCCAATGTTCCATATATAGTTTAGAAGAACGGCAATTGTGATTATGTAGAAGGTCACCTCGCCCCTATGGCTTTTACCCAATGCTGTAACAGCAAGGCATAAACCCCCTGCTTGCTGTCATGGAAACCCCCACTTGCAGTTTTTCCCTTTAAAAGCCCTGCTCACTCAGGGCTCGGGGTCCCACTTCTCTACTGCTGCGTCAGTGAGATTTGGGTCCCAAGTTCACTCGCTCTCGTAATAAAGCTCTCTTGCTCTTGCATCGAGTCGTCTCCTGGTGGTCTCTGAGGGTCCTGTGGAGAAGCTGACAAGATCTGAAGAGACCAACGGGAGCCCATGGCAGAGCTCCTGCACGCTTGCTGCGAGCTCAGAGTGCTCAGTCTATGTGCCACTCCTGAAGGGGTCAGACCCATGAGGTTTTCAGAAATGTGAGGAATGTGTATAAGATCCATGATGGAGACCAAAACAACAACAAACAGAGACAGTGG